CCCACCTTCTGCACCCACCCTCATAGGCTACGCCTATCTACTTTCTCCACCACACCAGTTATCCTGGCCTACTGCACTGACCCTATTCCCCCACCGCACCAATCATCGCCCCCCACTGACGTTGTGGATTCTACTCGTCCATTGGAGCTCTCTCTCTCTCTCTCTCTCTCTCTCTCTCACACACACACACACACACACACACACACACACACACACAGAGTAAGCACAACAGAGAAGTTGAGCATAGCACAGCAGAGTTGTGAAGCTGAAGTCTCGCATAGTAGCCCGTGGCATAGAGAAGAGTCTCTCTCTCTCTTGCGCATGCGCACAGCAAGCATCGACAAAATGCACAGCGGCCACAGCCTTCAGGGTGCACAGCCCAACCTCCAGCAGGTAATAGAAATTTGCAACAGAGTCCAACCTCCAGCATGTAAAAAAGCTTAGCGACAACAACGTGCATGCGTGTTGTGGGCATGTGTGTGTGTGTAGAGCAAAGTCGAAGTAGAGTCGAAGTCGTGTGATGTCGAGCATCAAGCGCAGTAGTGTAGAGTAGCACCAAGCGTAGAGTAGCATCGAAGTCAATTAGCAGAGTAGGGACAACAGCATACAGTAGTGTTGATTGTCGAAGCGGGAGTGTAGCCAGTCAGGGGCGCCGTTTCTTTCCGGCGCTGCCTCAAAAAAATATATATATAGTTACATCACCCTCGTGCACGTGTGCGTAGTGCGGAGCGCCGCGTACCGGGCCAGGGCCTGCCGGCCCAGTGTGATTTAGCTACCGGCCTAGTCATCGTCTCCAGACGATCGACACACAATCTGGACTGTGCAGTACAACACCGACGACGGTCCAGAATGCAAGTTGATCACATCGAAAACGATCAGCAGCCAATCTGGACCACCGCGCACCAAGGAAACCAAGGGCCAAGATCGGCTGCTGGTCACAGGCCGCCAAAGAGCAATTGTTACAATGTACTGATCCAGATCAGACCCGTTGTTCATGGTGTTGCTATGAATACTGTAGACCATCCTGATGGAGGAGGAGAAGGACATACAAAAGGAGGCCGAAGGTCCGTTTCTCCTTGGGGAAAACCAAGGAAAGGTGGATAAGGAAACAAAAGAATCAAGTTACAACATCTATCTGGATAGAAGCCCGAGATAATTGGGACACGCTTCAGTACCCCAGGTTTCCACCTAGTTAGCCCCATTTGCCCATCTTTTAGCCCGATTGCCCATATCTTCAAAAAGCAACTAATTTGGTAGCTCCATAGCAAAACCGGTTTTTCTGTAAGGTTTGTTTTTACTCACAACCCCTTCCCCGAAAAACCTCAAGCATGGGACCAAGAAAATACCATGCATTCAGCAAGAACCACTACATACAAATCCACTCCCATTATCATATGTTCTGATTGTCTAATCACTCATAGCAATGTCTCATTAATCATTTCTGACCAGCAACGTCTTCACAGATTCCATCTTCTCCTTCCTCACTTTTTTTCTCAATTCAAAATTAGCAATACAGATATGATCACACCACCCAGAATGCCAATCCCCCTTACCTCGTCCATAACAAGCATAGTACAATTTTTAAGGCTGCAGACACCCTTGTTTGCAAGGTCCAAAACTCGACCTGGCGTCCCCACAAGCAGGTGAACTGGATTGTACAGTCGCATGATGTCATCTTTCAGGCTTGTCCCGCCAGTTGTCACCATCGTCTGCACTGTCAGATGTTTGGCTAGCTCTTTGCAGACCTGCGACGTCTGAAGAGCAAGTTCTCTTGTTGGCACAAGCAACAATACTGCAGAAAGGACACCAAGCACAAAGAAGACCCCATGAGCCGTAAGGTCCATAAATCAACTGGGAGAATTGACTTGGAAGAATCACCCATGTTTTGAACCTTCCTTCCGTTTGTTGACATAAGATTGGTTTCACATCCATTTCTTTGTTCTGTTGGACTTCTGCTCAAGACTGCAGGGTAAAGCAGTTTGACAGTTTCAATAACAATCCACATCGATTGGATGAAGAAATGCATACACGAACAAAAAATCCAGTCAAACACCCAGAAGACTGAAGCAAATACCACCATTGCTACCCGGAAGACAAACAAATAGCACCATCGCTACCCGGAAGACTGAAACAAATACCACCATCACATCAATCAATTCCTGGTCGCCAAGGAACAGCTACAGCGCACACACTCTGAGCAAGCCACCTTCGTTGACAGCAACACAAAACGCAACGAAGCAGGGCAACACCTTGGCAGGGCCAACGGTAGCAAAAGTTCGACCTAGGTGGCATTTCTTCTCCCATACGAATATGAAAAAGAGCCGAAGTTTCAGGAGATAGGTTCTCCTGACCGACCAAGTCAATGTTCGCAGAAAATCAGGAAAGATCTTAATGCGGCCAAATGCGACCGCGCAACACAACTTTTACAACTACAGCACATGGAAAAACTGCCTGGTTTTGTACGCATTTTGCGACTCTCGCTCACCAACAGACAGCCACTTGACTGGCATAACCCGGGATGCATGCCTTTTAAGGTCATACACACATCAAGAGAAAACGCCACTCAAATACATCCCCGGTCATTCATTCACATGCAGATCTTTAAATTTCAGAGATGCTATATGCAGTAAACCACATCGGGATGCAGCTCTTTACGTTATACAGCACCAAGAGAAAAAGCCACTCAAATACATCCCCATTCATTCACATGCAAATCTTTAAATTTCAGAGATGCTATATGCAGTAAACCACATCGGGATGCAGCTCTTTACGTTATACAGCACATAACGGCTTGTTTGCATTACGTTCTTCCTTGGATAATAAAATGCTCCAAAATCCAAGTGAGCACACCCATACCCTGAATTGCATTCTTGCTGGCATCGATCTTCTCGATAGCAGGGATGCAAAAGGCAGCAGTTTTTCCAGTCCCGTTCTTTGCCCTCGCCAAAATATCACGTCCTGTCAGAGCGATGGGGATGCTCTCCTCCTGGATAGGTGATGGACGCTCAAAGCCCTTCTCATAGATTCCCATAAGCAACTCCCTCTTCAGAAAGTAGTCTTCAAACTCGTTCCCTTTCGTGGCAGTAACATCCTGATCATCCCAGAGAAATAAACCAAACAAACAACAGCAAAACGTCAGCACATCACAAGCATCCTCGCATGCGACAGAGCCTGGAGACCAGGTAATTTTCGAGAATGGTGGGGTGAGAAACCTCACACACAACAGCAGAGACACCATTTCCTCCGCACTAAAGCATCCAAAGGGGCCAATCAAGAGCCAATCATTTTTTAAAAAAAAGCAAAGCGTCAAACCGAAAAAAAGGGGTGAATCAGGAGCCACACATAGAAAATATAACAAAATACCAAACGGGTAGGGAGAAGCGATACAAAGGCAAGACGGTTCTGATCGCTTGACACACAACACTCACCTCCGTTCTGTATCTCGTGTCTGGGACAGGAACGACCAGCTTTGCCTTCCAATCTTCCGAACTACTGCCAAAAGACAAGCACATCACAAATCTCCTCCCGGGTCAACAGCGACGCACGGTTGCATTGCATAAAATGCCTGGTACTGGCCACTCCTTTCCTTAAAAAAAAAAAAAAAAAAAGAATAGAAAGTCTCTGTAATTTTTACCTCTTCTTGTTCTTGTCGTTTACTTTCATTTTTCGTGCTACAGCCAATGCTTTTAAGAGAGACGTTGAAAGATGTCTAGATGCTCTACTCCTCATAACTTTTGGCTTGCAGCAAGTCCTTTTGTAGGATATTTGGCCGAACATATGAATACAAAGCTGCAGACACCCATGGAAAGACAAGAAACCACATTACCTGTAATTCATGAATGTATGAAGGTCACGAAGTGGGAGAGGCAGGATTCAAGCCACCTACATAGAAATACAACCTTAGCCTTCACCAGATTTATAGTCTGTTGCTTTTAACAACTCGGCGGCCACTCTCCTGAAGAATTCGGCATCGTACAGGGTTTGAGCCTGAGGAAGATTGCTGCTCTAGCCAGACAAGGAAAAGATAATCAAAGAGAGACCACTTCAAGACGAAGATAAAAACATGAAACCCGACGTCACATGCAAGGAGAAATAAGCAAGTAGAGGGAGCAAACAACAGAGAGATGAATTCGACAGCGCCTCGAAATAGAGGGAAAGAAATTAGGGAGAAGCTACAAGCAAAAATTAGAGGGTAAGAAATTAGGAAGAACACTGACGAGTGCAAAGAAGGCGGCAGGCCTGGCGCGCATATGTCCCAGCAATTGCCAACAAGACAACCGTCTCCCAGCAATCGCCAACAAAACAACCGTCTTCCCCGAACACAACGGATCCGCACAGTGGATGTATACGAGCTACTCTTCTGGCCCGGTGCAGTCACGATGAGGGTCCGTTGTCTTCGGGAGAAGACTGCAGTTCACCGGGGTCGATGCGTACTGCCAGAAATGACAACCGAAAGACGTAAGAGGAGAGGATGGAGAACATCGCCACGGACGAAAACAGACAGGAGAGGAAAAACGTGATGAAGGGGTGTGAAGAAAAGACCAACGGAAAAAGCTGCGAATAGATATCCAAGGACAGCAGCCAAGCGCAAAGCATGACAAACGGGAAGGGCGGACCGAGAGAGGACAGAGGGGTGGTACAGAACTTCACAAGGTAAGGCGTCGGGTAGGACTGGACTGACCTACAGGATAGCAACAGGAGCGGACTGGACTGACCTACAGGATAGCAAAGAGGAACAAGACGAGAAGGGCATAACCATAAGAATAAAAGAAGGGGGGGAAACACGATGGAAGGCACGGAGACTGCAGAGAAGGCGACACATAGTCAACAATAGGGGCCAGTGCAGAGCTGGAAGGGTACGCAATCAGAGGGCTATAGGATTACTCTGTTGGTTTACTCTTCTGTAGGTTTACTCTGTAGGTTTACTCTGTGGGTTTACGGGAGAGGTAACCGGATGGAAGACGGGGAGGCTGCAGAGAGAGGGGCGATACATACTCAACAATAGGAGCCAGTGCAGAGCTGGAA